TGCGGAAGAAACTGTAGCTTAACGCACTGATAGATCTTTGTGGTTGGTTTTTGGTGTGCTCTTATCCTGCTTAATACCCGTGATTTTGTCCTTCATTTCGGGTATCAATATCTCTAATGTCTCACGAGCAGCATCTGATTTCGCCTGCTTCTTACTGGTGCCATAACCTGTGCCATATTTCAAATCATTGATAGATACAGTGGCCGAGTAGGGTGTTGCAGCATTTTCCAGCTCTTTAAATTCGTATGTAGGCTGTTTCTTCAGCGCATGCTGCACATACTCATGCAATATACACACATAACTCTTGCCATTTGGGTTCATAATCCACTCTTTGCGACCGCGAGAATTCGCATTCGCATCGCCGCTTGGCGCCAAAATTGGAAATTTAATCAGCTTCGTGCCATCGGGGAGTGTAGGGCGTTGTAAGTTTTTAATGTGTTTGCGATTCTTTGTGAATTTCCGGCGCGCATTCCACGACCGAAAACGCAAAACGCGTATTACCTTGAATTTAAACAATTTGGTGCAGTATTTATTCAATTGTTCTGGCGTCAACGACTCTTTTTGCGTATTTTCGGTAACGGTAACGATTTTTGCAGGCGGTACTAGGCTCTTCAAAGCCGCTACATTAGCAGCCAAGTCCTCTGGATTCGCAGTGGTTGCCATGACGCCTGCGAGGGTTGATGCTGAATTTTTGGAAAGTAATGACGCAGGCACTATAGTAGCTGTAGGCTCACTTGTGTCCATGGCTTCGCCATTTTCTGCAATGCCATTAGTCGAAGACGAAACTTGTGTTGATTGGCTAGTCTCCGTAACGGGACTCACGCTGCTGCTGACGCCAGTAAATGGACATTTGCCCACATTATTTTCATTGGTCTCATTGGTATCGTGGGGTATATCCCCTGCATCTTCTTTTGCCGATTCTTGTTTTTGGCGGTCCGCCTCCTCTTCTTCAAGCGCGCGTCGATAATTCAGACATGGAATAGCGCCTAATGGTATGGCATGTTTCTGAAGGTAAACAATCATTTAATGAATATGGAGATCTATGTAAATCTTCATAAATATAAAAAAAATACTATGGTTTTTTTTTAATTATCCAAATATACGTTTTAGAGATGCTGAACATATTCACTCAACTACGAACTTGCCAAAAAACTTTAAAAGCTAGCAGCAACTTACTCGCACACTGCCATGACCAAGAAAATATGGTCTCGACGCTGAAACGACACGCGTTTGTTTATGCAGAAATAGTGGCATGCCGCTGTTGTGAGTCACCTGAACCCAACCCTCTGGTAAAACCTCAAAATGGTTATGTCCTTTCTCTGAAAATTCGCAACGAGCATATAATTTTAAAGATTTGTCCAATGAAAGCGATTTTCTACAAACCTTCCAGGACAGTTTTAAAGCGTTCCTCATATTTCGGTTTCTTCGGTTCCTTTAAGTCATCAGGTAAATTCTCGTTGAGCAGGTTCTCTATCTCATTGTCGTCAATATCCAAATCAGAGGATTCATAACCATCACCGTGATCATGATTTTTATCGCCATTTTCGCTGCCGATGTCTGATAAATGAAATAAGTTCATGATTTATAACAGTTGAGAGGATGAAATAATACATAAGTAGAAACGCACAAATATACCAAGCAGCACACGAATTCCTTTCTTTTTTCAGATTTGTATCGTTGCATGAGACAATAATGGAAATATGAACCACGCTTAGCTATACATGTACATGTATATTCATACACATAAACATATTTCCTGTTTACTTGTGAGAACCAATGTTTACAGAGTTGGGGTCTTATTTAAATATACTCGTAGACAAAATCTTAATATGTAACAGATAATGCATAAACTTATTAGATATCTTAATATTTGTACGTATGTGTATGTACATACATATATGTATATACTAAGTGAATTTAAATTAAAGGCTAATTTTTATATGATATGCCTACATACATATTTATGTAGGTACATGTGTATATGACGTGGAATTTATTTACAGCTTACCTTTCTTATATTGAACTTCACTGGAGATCTCCAAACGTACAATCGGTATCATACGCATGTTTATATGATTTTTTCTTTTTTTTTTTTAATTATAAGATTTTGTGCTGTATTAATCTATTAGCGCGCTCTTTTCCATTTTGTAGCGTATCCAGATTGTGATCTCAACAATAGAGAACAAAAATATGCTGCTCATATCTCAAGGAAAGCAATACAAAATAAAAGAAGCCTATCACACTTATCTTCTGGTTCTTAAAAAATATTTAATTCCTACACAACGGCATTTTTCAACCTGTGCTACTACCTTAAAGCTCCTGAATGCCCTTTTCTAGCAGCACATCTAAGCATTTATTTTTCATATAGGTACGGCACTATATTGAAAGAGCGTTAAAGTTTATATGTATGTGTTTAAACAAGATTTTTGTTAGATAAAGCATCTATGCCAAATGCCGGTTAAATAATTAGAGCTAAACGCTACATTGTCTAGTAAAATCAAAAGTCTGTCAACTGTAGCAGTACTATACATACCCGAATCTTCAGTGCCAGAGCCCTGTACTTCGTCAAGCACTTGAAATTGTCGCAACTGTTGGTCGAGCGCTCCGCTTTGATTATTTTCCTCAACACGTGTCTTCATTTCCTCAATAGCGCTTAACGAGAAACCTCTCTCCTTCATTGCAGTTGCTTCCTCGTACATAGTTTGCTCATCGAGACGCGCTTTTTTACTAGGTTGTGGCGACGAGGAGCGCGGCGAGGGTGATCGAGGCATACTATCACTTTCGCTAGACATTTTTGTATTACGTATTCGCAAATCTTTTTTTTTTATTTATTACAGAAGGTAATGATTCTCTACTTCATGCAAGCTTCAAATTATGGTCGATTAAAGGCTGCTCTTTAAAACATCCAACCTGATGGAATCCAACTTTTGTATTGATTTTTAATAGAAATTGGATTGGTCACATTGGTTATTTTAGAACAAGCCCAAATTAATGCACCTGGCTATCTCTCAAAGAATTTTATTTCCAGCGTTGGGTTAAATGGCAGAAGCAACTTTCGCAATGGATTCTGTTTTGAAATTTGTATTTAGTTTAAAATACACGAAACCACTGCAAAAGTACTTCTTTGAAGATTTAATCTCTTATTTAGTATGTAGGAAATTTTCAGTGAAAATTCGGCGTTGCATTCAATTGATAAAAATAATTTTCACGCGTATTTATTTGCACAAAACTAGTGATAACTTTTTATTAGTCGATTAACAATTAGAAATGCAAACGATGCATCGAAGTTTTCAAAACATCGATGTTTCGTTCAAAAATATCGAGGAACGACGTGCACGAAAAGTTGAGAGTTGGCCATATTTCTGCGTTGTGTTGGCGTTGGCGTTGCCCAACTTTGATTATGTTGATATTTTCATATAAATGCATGTATTCAGATACTACGTTTATGCATAGGCTAATTCACGAATTCATTTCACGAACTTGGGTTAAAATTGGCTGCATAAATACCATTTCATGAATTCAGTTATGCACGAAAGTTAACCATGAATTCGGCATCATTTCATGAAATCGTGAAGTGTATGTCCGGCAACGCCATATTTCACAATCAGCTGTTTACCAGGGTATGATGTTTTTAGATTAAAAAGCTAGAGTGACATAACCATGATTTAAAACACTTATGTCAAATCGTTGAAATAAAAAATAAATTCAAATAGAATAAACAGAAAATATATTATAACAAATTTAAATATAATATGGTTCATTGCCTGGTACCAACGACTTATGCAAATTCAAAAGTATTTCAAAAAAGTCAAAACCCTACTGTTTAGTTCCTCGCCAGTGCATTGCCACTTTTTAAGGCACTTTATTTCATGAATTCGCGAACGATGTATAAAGGGGACCATTTTTGAATTCATGCATTTTCTCGCATAAACGCAGTAATAGTCAGCTGTGCGACGCCAACACCAACCCAACGCCAAGATTTTATGTAAACGGGCCTGAACGCGAAGTTGTATTTGTAACAACGAAAACCAAATTTTCTTAAATAAAAGTGTAAAATAGTGGTGCTTGTGATGTAAACAAATGCTCACAAACTTTTCTCACAACCAGACAGAGAACCAAATACAATAGGTTTGTTCGTCGAGCGAAAAATTTGTACGAATTTGTACGAATTATCACGATTTTTGCCCAAATCGCGTTCGTGCAGACCAAAAAATTATCCAACACTCAAAAATTGTGAGAGCAAAGTGACAGTTCTCTTGGAGAGAAGTTGCAAATTCTTGCTGGAAAAAATTTTGCCAGCAAGAATTTGCAAACACGAAAAACATGTGGTGGTGGCGCATGGTTGCATTTTTGTCTACAATAATTTGAATAAATTAGTTCGTTAAATTTAAAAATTTATAAACACGAGCGATTTTTTTATGAAAAAAGGAAGTAAATAATTTTTGATATAATTAATTTAGTTAACTCCAATGATTTGAACTTAATTCGGCTGAAAAAAATGGTATTCGCAATCGGAATGCAATTGCAACCAGAGTCGATTTAAGAAACCCGACAGCTAGTACGATGAAGATATTGAAATGTATGTTAAAGAAAGTCAGAACAACAAGAAATATACATGTATATCCTGTTTTTGGCCATCCGAAAGAATTTTAAAAATTCTATAAAAATTTTTTATGTTTGAAATGCAACCGTGGACGCCAGCTGGCAGCGAAACTTGCAAATTCCTGCAAATTTGCGTTCGTGCAGAAATTTGCAAGTTTCTCAATATGAGAGAAAATTTGAGAGAATTTTTTCTTACTCTCTGATATTTTGATTGTTGGATAATTCTTGCTGGATTTTCGACGAACAAACCTACTGTCGGGTTCTTGCGTGATCTTGTATTTTTGGTTCATGGTGTTTGGCAGATGTTTAAACATTTTTAGTAGGAGGTATAGATGTGGGGTAATGGGAGCTGTTCAGAAAGCAAAACGTCATCAAACCAAAATCTGATTGCAACACTGGTTAAGGACAGATATGTTACCTTGTCATTGGTGGAAAAATTTCAGACGTCGCAGGAAAGATTTTCTTTGTATAAAATCGAATTAATTAAATTTCCTATAATAGTAACAACCAAATCGGTGTTCTACTTTAGTAGAGCATTGTTATAGAAGCAAGGGAGTCTCAGCTGATGTATAATAGCTGTGAAAATTAAGAGAACTTTTGTGAGGCAAGTGTTGAAAATCGATTTTTGTTTATTTTCTCTGCGAATTTGCCGACTGTCGATGTCTTTCAAACTCCGCCGAGTTAGCAAATTACACATAAAATTAAAAATTTTCTTACGAATAAACATTTTTACGTCAGTGTGCTAACAAAAGGAGAAACTGCAAGTAGAGCTGTATCTAGTAATTTGCTGCAAAGGTACACGACACTAGTATCAAACTGGTAACGAACTAAATCCAAGAAAATGGCACATTCGATGCACACAGAACGCAGCATTCATGAAATGCTCAAGGACACACCACCTATGAATGAAAGTGCCAGCGCCATACACAGCGGAACGGAAGGCCGACCTTTTATGCCACCAAATAGTCTACCACTTCATAATCATTCGGGTAAGCTTGCAATAATTACACTCATTAGGTTTTCAATAAAATTTGCATATAAAAAATTTGTGTGGTTTCTTTAGCACCTGCCACACCCATGGCACAAACCAGTCCACAAAATGGCATGGATGCGGGTCTGCTACGTACGGGAGCATCTAAAATCGACAGCATAAAGAATTGGAGCATATCAACTTACAAATGTACTCGCCAAATAATGTTAGAAAAACTGGGTAAATCACAACGCACCGTTGATTCAGAGTTAGAAGCTCAAATCGAACAGTTGCGGGAGACACAGCGCAAATATCTTTCGATTTTACGATTAACGCGCGCCTTTAGTTCACATTTTCATCATGTAGTTGCAACACAACATGCGCTGGCCGAAGCATTTGCAGATTTAGCACAGAAAAGTCCAGAACTGCAGGAGGAGTTCACTTGTAACTCGGAAACACAACGAAATCTTACGAAAAATGGCGAATTGCTCTTGAGTGCGCTGAATTTCTTTATCTCTTCGGTAAATACATTGTGCAATAAAACTATTGATGACACATTGCTCACGATTAAGCAATATGAAACGGCAAGGTATGAAAATTATTATTTATGTGTGTACATACATTAAGAAAATTGTAACTTTTTATATGTACGTGCTCGCAACAAATAGAGTGGAGTTCGATGCATATCGCATGGATTTAGAGAATGCCAAACCCGAATTGCCACAAAGTCCAATCACTGAAGAAGCGCAAAAAAACTTTTCACATCATAAAGAACTTTATGAAAAGTTGCGTGCTGATGTGGCAGTAAAAATGCAATTTCTCGACGAGAACAGGGTAATGGTACAACTAATGGTTCTATTTATTTTTAAAATCTTTAACTCTCATTCATTGTTTCAGATTAAAGTGATGCACAAACAGTTGGTGCTGCTACATAATGCAATTGCGGCGTACTTTTCCGGCAATGCTGTTGCTCTTGAGAGCACAATAAAACAATTTAACATTAAAGTATACAAATTTTATAAATATGTTAAAGTCAAAAACTAATTACTTATTATTTTAGTTAAAAGCGCCTAATGCCTCGACTGGGTCCTGGCTGGAGCAGTAGTATTTCTAAATAACTGTCCCTTAAAGCACCCAGCGGTCATATGCAACTATAAGCTAGCATATAAAATAAAATACCTTGTCGAAAAGCAAACTAAGGGAAGAATATTGAGTGCGATATACATACATCTTAAGCTAACTGCATTGGAATGAATTTTCTAATTAAGCATAACTAAGGTAACGGATATAAAATTTGGTTGAAAACGTATAGATAACGTGCATACATAGATGTATCTAAATGTACTCTTCATTGCTTTTCCCGTAATTTTCAATAACTAATGAGAAAAAAAGATAATGAAATCAATTTGTAAGAGAGAAAGCAGCACCACATAACAAGTTAGTATTCTAAGAACACATAATACAATAGTTCCTCAGTTTCTCCTGATCAAGTAAAATCACTAATTATGATTTAAACTGGAAAAGTTTGGTTAGGGTGTTTGTTTTAATACTTCTAACTTAAAATGAGAATCACATAACTCGAATTTTGGTTAATATTTCTTTTACTTACAATATATTTTTAAAAGATGATCCCATCTAAGCAAAAACCATCAGTAAACTCTACTGCACGATAGAAATATATGTGTAAGTATGCAAATTCTATCAATTTATTCATTCGGCAATTGATTATGTATTGTCGAAGTATTTACTTTTCATAATTTGTGAATTATATTTTAAGTAAATCATTCAAAATCGGCCTACAGATCCATATACATACCTAAATGAAGTTTTACAGTATTGACCGACAAAGCAAAAAATTTAATCGATTTTTCTTAGCTCCATTAATGTTTAAATTTTATACTTATGTAAGCCCACAAAAGTCTAATGAAAAGTAATATGTATAAGAAAATTGAAAACATAAATGTGTATTCTAGTCAACAAATATTAAAAATATATACATATATATTATAAAAGAAATATATACAGCTTTCTTTTTACAAAAGAAACGTATTGTAATTACTGGATACTTATTACATAGCATAGGACATCCCCTTCAGTTTTTCTCCAATTTCATATCCTTCATTTTATCATTAAGCACAGTTTCTTCATCTTCCTCTGCTTTAAACATGCTCTGGAAATATAATTGAAAATTAGTTATTAGTCATCGTTAAGGCGGTTCTTTCTCGTTTGGCAAATCAAACTTACAGCATCATAGATGACTTTAATGATGAGAGAACAACTCGGGCATGTAGCTACTTCCTCTCCCTCCATTAGTTCTTCCTATAAAAAGCAAATAAAATTAAGTACTTATTTGGTCACCAAAAGCTCGTCCGTTTGTTCTAAGTATGCCACTGTTACCTTGGTTATTTGAAATCGATCTCCGCACGGACATGGATAATAATAAACCTCCTCTTCCTCATCATATTCCATGTCTTCGATTTCGACTTCATCGTGATAAACACTCATTTTATACCGTTATCACATAATCCCTACAAAGTTACTAAAAATTTACCAATGAAATTCACGTTGTCCGAAATCGCAAAAACGCTACCAGCAGCATGTTGACAAAACGATTCAAGAGCTGTCAGTTGTCAGTAGAGCTGGAAAACTATCCATGGCACTATCGATGGTATCGATGGTTTTAGACTATGGAAAACATTGATGGTTTTGTAAGCACTATCGATAGTTTCCACTCATTCATATATTATTCAGTAATAGTAAAAGCCCGCGGTAGCCATGAACGAAAGACACAAGATCACACGGGAAGGAAAGAAAGAAAAAAGTTATTTTCTTTTTTTAATCATTTTTATTATGCAAATTCTTCTATAAATCATGCCGTTGTGTTAAATTATTCTTTGCCTTATGTGTTTACACGAAGTTATCTGGAACGCAACTCTTGTGAGTCGGGACATTTAGCAAAGGTCAAATAATTTTAGAGCGCAGATGCTGCTTGAAGCCAAAAATTGTTAATAAACTTATTTCCCTTAACAAAAATATGCAAACATTTTGGCTATTCTGATCTCATTTTCAATAAAAGTTTTTATGTCTAATTTTTGGAACTTTAATCAAAACTACCGATAGTACTATCGATAGTCGCGACATTTTCGATAGTATCGATACTATCGATGGCTGCGATTATCGACTAGTCGATAGTTTTCCAGTTCTAGTTGACAGTTGCATTCTAGGTTTGTTCGTTTTTAAGAAGCAAACAGCTGTTCATGCCAATTCTCGGCAGGGAGCGAGCAAAACAAAACATTGGAAATTGAATTATTCTAAATTCGTATTAATGAAAATGTCTGCCGCGAAATTCAGTGATGCAAATCTTTATGAACTCCTCGGTATAGAGCTTGAAGCTGAGCAAGCGGAGATTCGTAAAGCCTATCGCAAAAAAGCATTGGAATGCCATCCTGACAAAAATCCGGACAATCCCAAGGCGGCAGAGCTCTTCCACGAATTATCCAAAGCTTTGGAGATACTCAGTGATGCATCAGCACGTAGCGCTTACGACAAAGTATTGAAAGCTAAAAAGGCATCTGAACTACGAAACAAGCAATTAGATAGTAAGCGACAAAAATTTAAAGCGGATTTGGAACAACGTGAGCGGGATGCCTTATACACATTGTTTAGCAAGCAGCCATATCCCACGGCTCCTAAAAGCGACGAGGAAGTATTGCAGGATCAAATTGAACGACTTCGGCGGGAGGGCTCAAAACTCCTGGAGGAAGAACAGCGCTTAATGAGAGAACAATTGCTACGTACAGTGGCCGAAACCCAGAAGACGAAAGCGGCAACATCGTTTGATTCATCGGCTCATCGTATTAAAATTAAATGGAAAGCAGAAAAGAAAGATCCCAATAACGGTGGCTACACACAAGAAAAATTACAAAATTTCCTGAAAAAGTACGGCGAGCTTGTAGCATTGGTGATGTCGAAGAAAACTGGCAGTGCGTTAGTAGAATTCCAAACCCTTGATGCTGCAGAGATGGCACTCGCTTACGAAAAGGGTCTAGTGGAAAATCCACTACAATTGGAATGGGTCACTCCAACAACAACAAAGGCGGCAGAGAAACCCACAAGTTCTTCGCTGGATTATGAAGACTTGGTCATGCGTAAACTGCGGCAAGCTGAAGAGCGCAAAAAGTTAATAGCACAGATGCAAGCAGAAGATGAAGCAGAGGGTTAAACTAAACTCAGTACATATAGTAATTAAAATAAAACCGTGGTTAAGATTAATTGTCAGAAAAATGTTTTTTGAAAAGTAAGGTATAGTTAATTTGAGACGAGACATGCCAAACCTGTTTGTGTTATATACATAATTGCATCCCCAATTCCGGATTGCCGGAAATTCAAATTTCCTATAAAATATAGTGATAATTTGTAGTTGCGTTCGATAACAAAATTAGCTAACACCAGCCATCAATCAAAATCGAGAGAGTAAGCGAAAATTCTCTCCCAAAGAAAAGAAAAATCAATAAAGTAAACTAACAGGAAATTAGCCATCACTTGCAAAAACCGGAAGAAGAAGACACACCAGCTGACTTTGTTTGTTTTATTTGTAAACAAACTGAAATTCATGTTGCCTCCATGGAAGAAAAAAGGAAAGTGAATGTTCAATGTTCGCCAGGAACATTTCTAGAAGTAAAAACTTGTTGGCGCTATCATAAAGTCACATAGCAGGCAGCCAAAAAGCATATAAATACCAAAACTCGGAAAATGCAATTTGGTTTGTGTACAGAAATTGCAACCATATGTTTTGTGATCATATGTTTTCGTGTTGGATAATTTTTGCTGACTAAAATTTTGCCAGTACGAAATGAACGCTTCTCTTGCATCAAAATGAACGCTTGCTCTCTCAATTTTTGTGTGTTGGATATTTTTATTGTCGTTATCGAACGCCATGCAGTAAAAATTTGGAAAAACTATTACAAATTTTTGACTTGTCGAACGCAACTATTTTTTGTCGTTATCGAACGCTATCCAGTAAAAATTTGGAAAACTATTACAAATTTTTGACTTGTCGAACGCAACTTGTGATAATTATCTGTTAAGAAACAAAGCTATTAGTCCACTTTCAGACACGTCAAGTCTTGAAAGCAATTTTATCGCATTCTCTTTTGTGTTTTCTCTTTGCTTCCACACGCATCAAGTTTTATTGAATTCAACTACTTGGTTCTTTAAACGGGAAGCAACGAAAAGATCAAAAGAGAACAAGAAAACTTTAAACTCGTCACTTCCTCCCCCACAAGTAACGAGTTGCCGCGACAAAAGTTTCTCTGTCTGAACCTAGCCAAATAAGTCGACGTTCAGACACGAAAACTTTTGTTGCGGAAACTCGAAGCTTGTAGGGGAGAGAGCGACGAGGAAAGGGGACGGGTACCGAGTCGCCCGTACTCGGGAAACACGCTTTGTGTTCTCGTTCGTAAGTGTAATTCAAGTTGGCGATTCACAGCTGACAACAATTGCGTACAAAAGAGTTTCTGTGTGTGAATGCAAAGGGCAACACCAAAAGAGAAATCGCCGATAATAAGAAACTCGAGTTTCCGTGTTTGAACGCAGACTAAGCAATCAGCTGTTCGTTGTTGACGTGATCCTTTCCTTTGCCAGTTATTCATTTGGAAAATGTTATGGGATGATAAAAAATTCTGAATTTTATTTGTAAACAATCCTTGGTATTATGGACCGGAGCAAACTTGAAACTTTGGTTTCTGCACAAAAGGAACAGTTAGCTAGATACGAGAAGAGATTAAAAGGTATGTATTGAAGAAAGTGAAAAATCGAATATTAGTAGTACATACATATGTCCTTTCCATGAACCAACAACTATGTATTTTTGGTTCATGTGTCCTTTCCCGTATTAGACGTCGTCACCGCCTATAAAGGGCTGCTCAAAGAAAAAGAAGCACTTGAATCCAGCTTGGCCGCAGTAACGGCATCTAACAATGAAACAAACAACAAAAAGTCCACTTCTGGCCTTGCCAACACTTTTTCGGCATCCGAAAGCGCTAGCAACGCAAGCTCTGGGAAAGAAACGAATTTCCAAGCAACAAGTGACACTGAATCGGGCATTGTTGACGAAGATAAACAGCAATTGCAGAAACAAATCCTGACACTAATGAATTCGCTAGCGACATTATCAGCAGAGAAATCTCGCATGGAGGCTTCTTTTCAAGCAGATAAGAAGCAATTACGTGGTCAACTTACCCAGAAGGATCAAATTATTACCACTTTAAAAAACACCATTAAAGAAAATGAGGACAAAGCCAAAGCTCATTTAGACGAAATGAAAGCTAAATGGATAATCGAATGTCAGGAGCGCGAAAAAGAAACGAACAATCAGATGGTTATGATCCGCGAGTTACAGAAGCTCTATGCCGATGAGAGACATTTAAAAGAAAACATTGAAATGCAGTTAAATAATTTTAAAACTCAATTCGCCAGCAATGAAACAGAAAATGTACATGTTCGTGATCTCCAAATCCAGCTAAAAGAGGCCAAATCACAATTGAGGCAAATGCAAGCGAGCGGTACTGTCAAACAAGCTTTAAAAGATGCTGAAAGCGCCGCCGATAGCACGACTTTATTAAAGCAGGTGCAACAGCAGATGCAACAACTTAAAGATCAACACGCGGTTGCTATTAAGAATGAGCAGCGCCGCGTATTGCACGCGGAAGAGCGGAGTAGACATCAAGCTGCTTTGCATGAGGATCGCGTGGCCAACTTAGAGGCACGTTTGGCAGAGCTTAGTAGCACTGTTGGTAACTACGATCGACTACGTCAGCAAGATCAGGAAAGCATACAAACACTGCGCAAGAAGTTGCAAGAACTAGAGCATAACACGGACTCAAAACTGAACTCGGCAAGTACTACAGATTACAATGCTGATCGCTGGCGCCGAAAGTTAAGTAATACAGCATACGACATTGCAACCCTTGCTGATGAAATTCTGCGCCTGAAAAAGTTGTTACTCGCGGAAAATTCTCGCTCTGCGAACCCCATAGATTTGAGTAAAATTTTTTCTGTCGTCTCTGATCATACACAATGTCGAGAAGAGTTAGAACACTTGCAACAACAATATGATTCTTGCAAGACGGAACTGTTGCAGTATCAAGATCATATGCAGGTCCAAAAGTCGCACATATCCACTTTGCAAGACAAGGTGAAGGTGCTGAACCGCAACATAGATGAGCAAGAGTTAGAATTGAAAAACCAGGCGGAAAAGCTTCGACAAGCTATTAAAGAGGAACGCACCAAATGGAAGAGCAAACTAAACGATTTGGAAAACGAGACACGTTGCAAAGTGGTTGATCTGGAACAGCAATTACAAAAACAAAGGCAGCGGTCTTTGCACTTGCTCGACGAAAAGGAGCAAGAGATAAAAACATTGCAAACATCATTTGAAGTTTTCCACAGTGTCACGTTACCGGTCTCAACTAATGATTCACAGGCCGAACAAAACGTGACAACTTCAGCTTCTGACGCAGAAAGCAATGATGGTGGTGGACCTGTCGGAGTAAGCGCTCAAACGGGCACAAAAGTAGCAATTAGAGCAAAAAAGTTATCAATTGGCGACAACTGTCACATGCTGCATTATGCCAACGAACTTGCGCGTAAAGATATTGAAATAGCGGGCCTGCGAAAGGCAAAATATGCCGCTGAATCCTCTTTGCGAAAAGCTATACAAGAAAAGGTGAACGCACAGGAAGACCTCTGCGATAAAGTTGCACTGCTAGAAGAGCAAGTGGATAGGTAGTTATGCTTTTAAGAACCTTAAATTGACAGTTGTTTAATTTTTACCTTTATAACTTTAGATTAGAACGCTGCAAGACACGGGAAGGCGCCAATCTTGAGTATTTGAAGAATGTGATCATTAGTTACATTGTAACACGCGATCCTGACGGTAAGCGTCACATGCTCAATGCCATTAGCGCAGTGCTTCAGTTAACGCCAGCTGAAATGCAAACGATTAACAACACATTCCAGAAAAAGTAGTTGGTTAAATGCTGTCGATGTACTATTTGAAATATGTTAATATATGCCAACAACTAATTAATCGACAGAACTATTTAATTTCCTTAACAGAATAAACATTTTTAACAATATCAACAATTTAAAATCAATATGTACCTATTTGATAACAATAAAATGAAGAAATTATAAATTAGATGCGTATTATTGAAATCCACTGACTGGAAATTTTTCGAGATGCTTTCTCACAACGGCTGGAAATATTGAAAAAAATTTGAATCGTTTTCCCATTTGTGTAGGATCTGTTAGCATTTTATAGCCGCTTCTAATGATGTCATGATTTTCGGGTAAAGCAAATGCAAGTAGTTGCTGTAGAGTACAAAATAGTGATTTGGTTTTATAAATTGAGGCCATATGTACAGAAGTGTTGAATAAAGTTATGCATATCCAACATTTTTAACAATGTATACCTCTAATCGAGTATCTCCCTCCATTTTCTTTAAAAAAGTGCCCTGCTCTACCGGGCCAAAACAAATCACTTTGCCATGTTCCTCGGCGATGCGCTTGATTTGTCTAAAATCAACATCCGCTGTGAGGTCTGCTGTGCCCGGCGCCAGAAGCGGTTCGTGCAGTTTATGTTTTTTGAAAGCCTGCAAAACATTTTTAGAAAATAGCAAATTCAGAGATTACGTCTCAGTTAAAAACTACCATTACTTACTCTAAATGTATCACCCTTTTCGCCGAAATGGCCGTAATCCATAATCAAACCAATGCCACCGTCGATTTCAAATCGTTCCGCCATCATACTAATTATGCGATCTGTATCTAATGAGTATTCGAGACAATCACGCGCCTCATTTGTAATAGGCTGATACAGATGCGACACTGGAGTCTGGGCTTTCGAAATTACGTATCGAAAATCCGGTTGGTTATCGCTGTCAACGCTATCTCTGCTGTTTACATCAATTAAGACTTCTTTCCATAGTTTTCCATCACGTTGTAACTTATGTACAGGCAAAGCATCGAAGAATTCGTGTGCTAGCACTATTGAGAAGGCGCGTGGCACATCTTCTAGTCGCTTATGCCAGTATACGTGTGTACCAGTCGCTGTCTTACCAGTCTGATAGTGGGGAGAACTTTCGTCCGTCACCGTCTCGGTGCTAAAGCATAAACGCTGTCCTTGTACTTTACTTAAATGTGGACTAATTTCCACCATATGCATGGAAAATTGTCCACCGAATTTGAATTTGGTTAACACCTTAAGTACATCGCGGGCCAATGTGCCACGTCCGGGTCCTAGTTCAACAATTTGAAAAGGTAATGGGCTACCCAATTTACGCCACTCGCTTACAACCCAAATTGCCACCAACTGAGATTAAGGTAATACATATGTATATGAATAAATTGGCCATTGAAATTTACTGCGTAAGTATATATGTGTGTATACCTCGCCGAAAATTTGGCAAATTTCCGGTGATGTTATAAAGTCTCCTTCGCGCCCAAACACATCACGGTGCATATAGTAACCGCTAAGTGGATTGGTGAGAACTTCACGCATATATTCGGCAACTGTAATAGGACCTGTAGCCAATATTTTGGCCTTCAAATGCTTCGTTAAATCATTTGGTGCTTGCGACTCCTCTGTTTTTGC